ATGGATGCATAGCACCACACCTGGTGCTATGATGATTTCTTCTTCTTCTTTTTCCATGCAGTGCTGGGAGTTGAATCTGGGTCTTGGCCCTCTCCCACTGAGCCACCCCCCCAGCCCTATGATAATTCTGTTCAACTTTTTGAGAAAAGGGCTCCTCTTCGTATCTGTTTTCCATACAGGGGCGAGGAGGGTGGTTGGGTATGAGCCCATCTGGAAACAAATGGCCAACAAACAAGAGAGAACCTGAACTAGATGACCCCCCGGGGTCCCTCCAATCTCTAAAACTCCATACTGGAAGGTTATAAGGTAAAACAAGCATATAAAAAGTATTTTTTAAAGAACCACCAACTTTGGGTGCAGGGGAGGCTACCCAGGTGGGCAAAGGACTCCAGACATTAACGGGTCACGGAGCGGAGTATGGTGACAGCAGCACAGTGCGTGGCCCATGCAACGCATGGCCAGCGTGCCCTCACCGCTCAAAGACGCAGAATCTTGTGTCAGCAACGCCAGCATCAGGTCAGGCAGCGTGGACACCATGGGGTTCTGCTCAGTGTCTCACTCGATGTTGTAAGTGCAAGTCAATCCCATGCCTGCGCCCACCTGACTTGTTTGGTTGAATGTTTTGTCTCTGCCTTGTGCTCACCGGGCAGATCCACCCTCCGCCCTCTGGCCACAGAAGGTGTCCTCCATGTAGTGACAAAGAACTGGGGTGACAGGAGTCTGATAAGACCAGGGGACATGTTTTAAGTCTGGCCTATTTGACGGGGGCCATTTCACYGTGGAGGTCAGCATCGAGGTCTCCAGCAGCAGCCTGTGGCTTGCTGGCACCTGCTGCCCATCTGCCTGGCTGCCTGTGTCCATCCTGGGTCCAGCTGGGCGGTGGGTGGTTGGGGTGTAGGATGAGCTGTCCCAAGGGAAAGGCCACAGGGCCCTTGGGCAGGGCAGGGGCTGGGTATAAATAGCTCGTGGCCCAGCTGGGAAGGCCTGGCAGGGCCCTCTGCCTCCCCCTCACCAGCTGCTGGTGCCAGGCAGGTCCTCAGCTCCCTCGGGAGCCTGGCCATCATCTTAGATCCTAGCTTGGGACTTCCTTAACGGCACTGGGGAGTCTCGTCCTGTGTGTAGGTGGCACCTCCGGATGCCTGGAGCCTGGGGAGTGGGGAGCACGTTCCTCTCCTTCTGGAGTATCAGCAAGTGGGTATCACGTGTACAGCCCCGTGGAAGGCCAAGTGTGCTGGTGTGTGTGTGTGTGTGTGTGTGTGTGTGTGTGTGTGGCTTGGCTGAGGAGACACACCCCTCCCTATCCTTGGGGCAGTTCCACTAGCCCAGGCAGATGAAATTGGAAAGAAATCAGTTGAGCACTTTGTGATAAGGTTTGAACATGGAACAGAAAACCTACATAACAAGGAGAGGTTTCTTCTGGCTGGGAGCCTGGGAGAGTCTTTAGAATGGAGGTGACCCAGGAATCTGGTTTTGAAGAATGAAGATGTTTGCCCAAAGGGTGCAAAGGTTGGGGTGGTGAAGCCCCAGAGGTGGGAAGCAGCAGGTGAATCTGATCATAGCCCCTCACGGATGGGTAGGAAGCTTTGAGGGAAAAGAGGCTCATTGTGTTTCCTCCCCCCGGGGCACGTGTGGCTAAGGTAGAATGTCACACGCAGCAGTGTGTGGCCAGGAGCTCAGGTCAGGGGTGGCGCGTGTTTGGGGAGGCAGTGATCCTGCAGAAATCAATCCCATGGGCCACAGCTAAATCTTCATCCCCGGGGGCCCTTGCTAATTACAGGCAGGATGTCCAGATCCTGGAACTTTCGAGTGGAGCATCCTGGAAATGTCCTCATGCCCTTTGGTTACCTTTAACACCCAGCCAGATCATGAAGGTCTTTATCCAGCCAGCCCTGTCAGGACGGCAATGCTGGGGATGGGCCTTTGCTTTGATCCAGGGCGTCCTTCCCAGGGTAGATGGGAAGGGGATTTGGAAATTCTGATTCAGAGATTCATTGATGGGAAGAATGTGGTTGGTGACAAGGCAGGGACACGCAGTAACTGACCACCATTTCTGGAGGGCTTCCTATGTGCCAGGCACTGGATTATATCATTCATATCCTCCCCCATTAGGTCTATTTTGCAGATGAAGAAACTGAGGCATGGAGAGGAAATTGCTTGAGATGAGCAGGCTGGAAGTGGCAGGCTGGATGTGACTTGTGGCAGCCTGTTCCTGGGCGCACAGTTGGTTGGAGCTGGGCAGTAGGAAGGAAGCAGGGTTCGGAGGGAAGAGGGAAAACAACTCGGGATGGTGAGTTATGGGATGGTGCTGTGCCAAGCCCACTACCCCGAGCCCTCCTTCGCTTTTCTTTTCTAGTGGTGGCCGGTTGCCCCTGCAGGGCAGGCTGGACACTGGACACGCTGGTCAGGAGCGCCAGGATGGATTTGATCTGGAGGAGGAGGCTCAGTTCTGGTGCTTCACAGTCCTGCAGACCCAGGCAGATTACTTAGCTCCCTGGCCTCCGTTTCATCATCTATGAAATGGGATGATGATGGTGATGATGCTGACATTCCCACCTCACCAACTTGTGAGGATTAAATAAGGCAACAAACACAAGCACCCAAAACTGTCTGGCCCAAGGTGGGCACACGACAAACCACAGATATTTTATTGCTCTGGTTATTACTATAAATGGAGTGGGGGAGGATGACCTGCAACGCCCTGTCAAGCGCTGCATGGGCCACATGCCCATCAGGGACCTGGGCTCCCCTACTCAGGTGTGGGCTCAGGGCTGAGGCCCATAGTGCAGACAGGTAGGCCCAAGGCCATCCTCAGCCAAGAGGCAGGGTGGTAAGCCGTTTGCCCTCGGGTCTCTGGAATCAGGCAGCTGGGTTCCAATGGGTGACTCCCGCCGCCCACATTTTTTATTGATGCATTAGTAGTATGTAAAGGTGGACTTTGATGTTCTTATGTGCACACAGTGTAATATAATTTGGTCAATATCATTCCCCAGGATTTCCCCTTTCCCTTCTCTCCTCCCTCCCCCTGGTTCCTTTCCTCAATTCTACTGATCTCTCTTCATTTTTTTTTTTTAGTTGTATATGGACACAATACATTTATTTATTTATTTATTTATTTATTTATTTATTTATTTATTTATTTATTTATGTGGTGCTGAGGATTGAACCTAGTGCCCCACGCATGTGAGGCAAGCGCTCTATCACTGAGCCACAACCCCAGCCTTCCCTTCCCTTTTAATAAGATCCCCCCATCTGTCTTTTCTTTCCCTCCTCTTTAGCTTTCACATATGAGAAAAAAAAAAAAATCTGACCCTTGACTTTCTGAGTTTGGTTTATTTCACTTTACATAATGTTCTCAGGTTCTTGTTCTGTGGTCTGGGCTAAGCCGTCGGTGAAAACAGGTCTGCTCGTAATGACCCTACTCTGTCTTAGGTTGTTATAAGGATTAAATGAGGTTTACCCAAGGAAAGGGCTCGGCCTGGCACAGAGGAAGTCGGTAATTAGCCATTATCAATGACAAGCCACAACTTCGGGCTCCTCCTTCCTTCTCTTTGAAAGGGCTCCGTGGTTGAGATCACATCAGTGCCACCATCTGAACTCCCAGACTTCATTCCCTGGTTCCTCCTCCAAGTTAAATCAGTGGACTAATGAGGGCCCGCTTCTCCCCTTATGACTGAGCCCAGAGGCAGCCCAGGGCGGATAGGCGCACACCTCTGGGGTCCTGGAGAGCCCCTTCCCTTAGAATCTCTGTCAACTGACTGAAACCAGGAGCTAGCCCAAGGCCAAGGGAAGGATTGGGGAAGGCGGCAAACAGCATAATCTGAGCTGCCACAGTCTTGGCACCAAAACGCCTTGGGGGAGCTCATTCCTCTGCGAAGCCCCTTTTCTGCACCTGGGAGAGGAAATGCTCCTCTCACTCAAGAACTGACCGCATCTGTGGCGTCCAGAGTGCCAGGCACATAGCAAGAGCCCCTAGATGGCAGATGTCGGGTTCTTCCTGGTGCCACGCCCAGAAAGCTTTTGTGTGCTTTTTCCTGACCCACCCCTGGGGTCTTCTCCTGGACCCCCTTTCTTGAGGCTTGGTAGGTGATGGACTCAAAAGAAGAGAGGACTCCTGGCTGCTCCTTCTTCCTACTCACTCTGCCCCCATCACAAATGACTGATCACAATTGACCTTGAAACACACTGAGACCTACTGATCATTTTCTTTGCTTCTCCCTCAAAATGTCGTTTCTGCTGTTCCTGTGCTGAGGGAGGGAATGGTGGAGATTCCCACAGTTCCTTGGCTTTCTAATATATTCTATTTGCCTATCCACCCCTTCCCTACAAGACTCTGAAATTCGAGAGGTTGACAGGATACTGATTGAAAAATGAGGGGCAAAGACTGAGGTGGCTTGATTCATGTCATCTAGTATTGGGTGAGAGCTGAGGTCTAAATAGCTCAGGTGAGAGGAGAGGTGGCACACTGTTAACTTCCAGGGAACTGGAAAGATGGTCATGTATTCCCCAGGGAGTCACAGGCAGGAGTGAGGCTGAGCATGCAGCCTCTAGGGAAGAGGCTGACGAGCACTGCAGCGGTGTGTGTGTGTGTGTGTGTGTGTGTGTGTGTGTGTACATGTACACATGTATACTGACTCTCCATGTGGCCCCCAAATTCTGAATTCCCAGAAGAGCGCAGAGTCAGACCCCTTCAACACCTGTCAGGGAAAATGGGTCCAGATCTGGGTCCCCAATTCCATCTTTCCACTCCAGGGTCCTTTCTGTGGCTATGATATGTCTATGCTAGGAGCTGACATTGCTTGGATCAGAGCTCTGCCCTTTGAGGGGCAGTGTGCTCCCAGGAAGCCAAAGGTGGCACATGCAGATGCCAGGTTTCTTAGGGCCTTAAGTTGAGGCCCACAGGCCCTCCATTCCTCCACCCACCCCAGAGGGTCATGAAGTGAAGCCCGTGCTGGGCCATGTGCTTTGTGTCTACTGTGCTACCTCCCTCTGTCTGCCCACAGGTCACTGGCCCTGGGCCAGCAGTACACATCTCTGGGCTCACAGCCTCTGCTCTGCGGCTCCATCCCAGGCCTGGTCCCCAAGCAACTGCGTTTCTGCCGCAATTACATCGAGATCATGCCCAGTGTGGCCGAAGGTGTGAAGCTGGGCATCCAGGAGTGCCAGCATCAGTTCCGGGGCCGCCGCTGGAACTGCACCACCATAGATGACAGCCTGGCCATCTTCGGGCCCGTCCTGGACAAAGGTACTGTCTCCAGGCCAGGTGGGAGGTGGGTGAGGCTCCGGGAAGGGGTGTGGAAGGCATCAGGACCCTCCTACCTCAGAGTGCTTCAGGTTTGAGTGCAGTGGAAGGCAATAAAACTGGTGATGACCAGTGGCCTCCATGGAAAGTGGGAGTGGATTGGGTCCTCCTCTGAGCTGTCTCCAAGTCCCACCACAACTTTCTCCAGTGTTGCTGGGGGCTGGGCAGCCCTCGGATGCTGCAGGATCCAGGAGATTTGAGGGCAGGCACTATGAAACCCTGCAGCCTTCCTTCCTGCCTTGCACAGCAGGTACTCCAGGCTTTGATGTGGACATTTGGGACATTTCCTTAAAGCTGTGCTAAGTGCTATGCAAATGCCCCTTTGGGGAGGGGGTGGGGCTTTGCCACCCCACAGGGAAGTCCTCAGGAGCTGAGGAAGCTGCCTGGTGCTGAGCACATTTTATTGCCCCCAGGTATCCCCTGAGAGTTTCTGTTAGTCCCATGCCCTGCAAACTAGATGTGCCCACAAACCACGATGGGCACACTGGCCTTTAGGTAACTTTCCAGCAGTCTTGTAACCTGGGGTTCTAATTGGCTGTGCTTCAGGTGGTTAAGAGTAAGGTGATTTGAGATTGAACTTGGGGGTCCCAATTCAATGGAGGGAGGACTGCATGGGACAACTACTCCCAATAAGGGGCCTTTGGGTCTCTTGGGCTCTGGGCAAAAGATGGGCAATTCTTGGAGGAATTGCAGAGTCCAGAAAATTAGTAACTAGCTGAGCCTTGCGGTTCAACTGGAGTTTTTCCATCCAAACTCTTCCTCTCCTTTTAGAAGAAGGCATTGGAAGCTGCATTTACACGAGAAAGAACAGGTATCCGAGTGCCAGTCCTCAGGGTGCCCAGTGGCTGGGTGGGGGTGCGGAGACTGACTACTCCCATTTTTTTAGTGTAATACCCCTTTACCTGTGCCTCAGGTGCACAGGGTCTATCAGACCTACAGGCACAATGTTGGCTAATATCACGGGATAGGAGGGCAATTAGCAAATCAATGGATGATGATTCTGTTTACGCTTCTATTACCAAAGCTAATTATTCCTTGTTTAGATAAAAGGTTTGGCCTCTAATTGGGGCCAAGTGGCTGCTGCTTGCATTTCAATCCCGATCTCGCTCTCACCGGCTTCCGCTGCCCCACCTTGGGCCAGGTAGCGCTTAATCAAACAGCCTGGCGTCGCGACGCGCTCCCCAACCTTCTGAGTGCTCTTCCCGCTGCGGACATTAGCCGGTGAGAAGCGGGTCTTTGAGCTTTTGGCCCGCTCACATTATTTGACGTTCTAAATCATCTTTGTGGGTCTGGCACATGCCTTCGTCCCTAAACTGCAAGGGGGCGGGTTTGTGTTGCGGAGGCAAAGAGTGAAGGTCAGAGATGCTGGGACTTTGGTGAAAGCGGTGGGGTGAGCCTCCGGGAAGCGCCCACGCGCCCCGGTGCCTGGCGCGTGGGCGGTGAACCCGGGCTCCAACCTGCATCCACCCCACGTTTGAACACCGCCCCCCCCCCCCCAAAAAAAAAAGTTTGCACCCGTTGGCAAGCCCGCGGCCTCCGGCTATGTGGGCAGCCAAGGTTGAATCTCTGCCCACCGCCTTGAGATCCAGGCTGCTCAGGGCGCGCGTCGTAGGTGCCAGCTCCGTGCAACCCCAGGGTCTGGGCCGGCCCGGAGGGGAGCCCTGGGGCTCCGGCTGAAGGCCGAGAGGAGCGGCCTGGAGGGGCTGGAGGGGTCGGCGGCCCGAAGGGACGAGGCCGCCGTGGTCGGGTGCTGGCCGCAGCGCGGGAGCCCGAGGCCTCTGTCCCTGCGCAGCTCGAAAAGGGCGTGAGCGCCGCCCCCCGCCGCGCCCCGGCCGGGCCCGCCGCGGCCGCCGCGCCATTCACACGCCCTCTGGCCACTCGGCGCGGAGCGGGGGCGGGGGCCACCGGCTCAATGGGGATCGCGCGGCCGGCGCCGGGGCCGGGGGCGCGGCCCGGCCGCGGGAGCCGCCCGTTGCTACGCGGTGGCGGCCGGCCCGGCGGCCCGGGCCCGGCGGCCGCATTATGCGGGTAATGCGGTGTGACACCGCGCGAACAAAGGCGGATTGAGCGGCCCAGCGGGCCCCGCCGGACGGGGACCGACACAGCGGGGCTGTCAGCGCCGCTCCCAGGCTAATCCCCGCCCCGCCCCCGCCGCCCCCGCGTTCCCGGGGCTGGGAACCGAGCGCAGCCCGGGGCCGGGCGCCGCCGCCGCCGCGAGAGGCCGCGGGCCGCCGGAAGCCAGGGGCACCCGCCCGCGAGCGCGTCCTCGGCCTCCTCCCAGCGGGCGCCCAGGCCCGGAGGGTCTGGGATGGGGCGGCCGGGAGCCTGAGGCGGGGATGGACTCCGGGGCCCACAGTCCCATGCCGCGGCCGTCGGGTTCGCGGTCGCGGCGCGGGTTCARTGTGTGGACTCGGGCTCGCACTCCCTGCTAATTGTTGGTGCCAGTGGACGGGCGCCTGCTCTGCAGGTGGCCCTGGAGGGTGTCGGGTCCCGGGGAGGCAGCCATGGCTTCAAGGGCTACTTTCTCATCTGTGGAGCTCCATCGCCCCCAGCACTCTAGACCGCAGCAGCGGCCTAGGAAAGGAGGCAGGAGTTCTGGCTCCGAGGCCGGCCTCCTGTCTAGCCTCCGGTGCAAGGTTTCCCGTCCCCTTCCCCCTCTAGGGTCCTTGTCTACAAGGAGAGAGATGTTGGACTGCAAGTCTAGCAGCCCTCTGCCTCCCTAACCATCAGCGTCCGAATCTACAAAGTAGCGTTAAGAACATTAAAATGGAAAACAAACACGAAGCGCAGCATTTGTGCATACCCAACATTTGAAAGTGGCTTGCCTTGTATTAGGGGACACCCCTGAGAATTACCCGTGGGGCAGAGCCAGAGTAACTGACCTGTGCCCAGTTATGGGAGGATCTTGACCTTCTCAGTTTAAAACCTTGGTTTTGGGGTGGGGGTAGGGAAGGGAGAGGGGAAGACGGACGCACCAGCCCCCGCTGTCCTGGTGAGAAGGCAGGGAGAAGCTGTACCCATTTTACAAAGGGTGTAACCGAGGCTCAGCCAAAGTTTCAAACGTCTGCTAAGCACATGCAGGTGGGAAATGGGTGGCTTGGGTATGTTTAGGCACAAACTGTCCTGGAGCGGAGGACTGTGCTGGCTTGTCTGGAGTTTGGGAGAGTGAAAGGCAGGTGGCCAGGGGCAAGACAGCATGGCTACCTTACCCCCTCAGTGCCCGCCAGGAGCTCGGTTTGTACAGTCTGCTCTGCTTCGTAGCAGCATTGGGGGCCCTGGGATTCAGGTTGCTCATTGGAAAGTTGGGGATACCCACAGGGTCTGGACCAAAGAGGAGGTTAGCAAGGGCACCGCGGTTCCTCCCTCTTCCTTAGCGGCTGGTGAGCTCTTAAAAGCTCCACCTCCCAGCCTCTTCCTCCTCCTGGCTGGGGAGGTGGAGGCAGGGCTGGTGCATCCCAGGCTCGGACCTGAGCCCTGCCTCCCTACATCCTCCCCGCAGCCACCCGCGAGTCGGCTTTCGTGCATGCCATCGCTTCAGCTGGCGTGGCCTTCGCTGTCACGCGCTCCTGCGCCGAGGGCACCTCCACCATCTGCGGCTGCGATTCTCATCATAAGGGGCCACCTGGCGAAGGCTGGAAGTGGGGCGGCTGCAGCGAAGACGCCGATTTCGGGGTGCTAGTGTCCCGGGAGTTCGCAGACGCGCGTGAGAACAGGCCAGATGCTCGCTCGGCAATGAACAAACACAACAACGAGGCAGGCCGCACGGTGAGCCGTGGCTGCCCTCGCCCCAACCCTGCTGGGATCCCACCTGGGACCCTAGTCTTGCCCTTGGCCTGGCTTTGACCCGTTCAGAGGCCCTGTGCATCTGGCTCCCCTTTCCCTTTGGCTAGGCTTGGCTCCCAGCCTCACCCCACAGCCACCCATTCTGTCCACCCTCCTTCCTCCTTGGGCTGTTCTTGATCTCTAGGGGATGAGTACGCTGGGAGGTGTGGTCACCCTATAGGAGCAAGTACCCCCAGCTTGGGTGTGTAGTTGTGGAGCTGTCTTGGAATTCTGCCTCCATCCTTTCCTGTGGGTGTATGACCCCAGGCTAGTAACGAAAGCTCCCAGCCTCAGTGTCCCTCTCTGTTTAATGGGGATAACAATTCCTATTTCCTACCACTTTGAGAAATGAACTGTCATGTCTGCTTGGGGTGTGATGAGGGAAAGCAGAACCTTCAGATCCATACCTCAGTTCCCATCCAGTCTCTTCCTGGCCCAGAGTAGTAAAGGAGGCTGGGAGAAGGTGGGTGGGTGGGCAGAGTGGGAAGGTGCTCCTGGATGGGGTCAGTTTGGGAGCCAACTGCTACTCCTCTTCCCCAGACCATCCTGGACCACATGCACCTCAAGTGCAAGTGCCATGGGCTGTCGGGCAGCTGCGAGGTGAAGACCTGCTGGTGGGCCCAGCCTGACTTCCGTGCCATCGGGGATTTCCTCAAGGACAAGTATGACAGCGCCTCAGAGATGGTGGTGGAGAAGCACCGGGAGTCCCGAGGCTGGGTGGAGACTCTCCGGGCCAAGTACGCGCTCTTCAAGCCACCTACCGAGAGGGACCTGGTCTACTATGAGAACTCCCCCAACTTTTGTGAACCCAACCCAGAGACGGGCTCCTTTGGCACCAGGGACCGGACTTGCAATGTCACCTCCCATGGCATTGATGGTTGTGATCTGCTTTGCTGTGGCCGAGGCCATAACACGAGGACGGAGAAGCGGAAGGAGAAGTGCCACTGCATTTTCCACTGGTGCTGCTACGTCAGCTGCCAGGAGTGCATCCGCATCTACGATGTGCATACCTGCAAGTAGAGAGCCAGGTAGGGCTCAGGGGCGGGAAGGGGACACTTGAGTTGCCCGGTCTTTTTTTGCTCCATCCATAACCCTTTTTATTTTTTTGAGACAGGGTCTCTCTAAGTTGCTGAGGCTGACCTAGAACTTGCCATCCTCTTGCCTCAGCCTCCCGAGTCACTGGGATTTCAGGCATATGCCGCCTCGCCCAGCAGCCCATTCCATTTATGAGCTACCCAAGACACAAAAGTTCCCACAGCCAAAATTAGAAGCCAGGACTTCCCAAGTTTCAGTAGAAATGGTTCTTGGGCAGCAACTTGGTGGATTATATAAAGCACAGATAACCAAGTAGGCCACAAGCAACTGATTAAAACTCTTATATAAATTAGTAAATTATGAGCCAGATGAGATTTTTGCTTGGCCACTGGCCTTCGTTACTGAGCCCCTGTGGAGTTAGAAGAGAGGCACTATAGGCTTGGGAGCTGGGAGACCTGATGTCTGGCCCAACTTTGTTTCTAACTTCCTGTTCTTTTACTTCTTGAGCCTCATTTTTCTTGCTATCAAATGAGGAGGTTAAAATACCTGAAATAGTGGGCCGAAATCTCTTTTAACTGGGGTAGAAGAGATTTGTACCTACCTTGAACTTAGAGGGCAAGTTTTTGCACAAACATAAACCCTTCCAATGTCAGGGAGGTGGGTGGGGAGTGTCGGATAAGCCCATATCCTGACAGATCTGAAGCTTGGGTGGAGCGGGTAGCACGCTGCTCATGGAGTTTATGGATGATGATGATGGGGAGGAGGAGGGATTCAAGTTCAGAGTGACTTCGATGAGTAATCAAGGGATCAAAGGCTGGTGGACTGTGTTCCCAAGCTTCCCAGAGGTGGTCTGCGTGGGAGGCCTCATGCCCTGGCCCTCGGACCCATAGGACACCAGGATAGGTCACCACGGATGCAGAGTGGTCCTGGAGCCTTGGCCTGGCAGGTTTCTAAGGCCCGAGAGGCCTTTCTTCCTCTTCTCTCCTGAGAAGGGCTCTGGTACATAGAAGCGTGAGCATAGGCTTTGGGATTAGGCCCAGCCCTGGACAATTCAACCATGTGACCCAGACAAGATCTTCCTCATTGACCTGTTTCCTCATCTGTCATCCTCCCCAGAGGTGCCATGAGCAGCAGGTAGAAGAACACCGGGGACAGTGCTGGGTCAATTGAGAAGCACTTGCCTACTTGGTCATGGCTTCCAGGGCAGGTTTGGGGGAGAGTAGCCCACTTGGTGCCAGGTGCCTTGGAGCTGGTGTGCTTGTCTGTGCTGTGTGGGGCTGGGAGCTGGATGGGAGGTACCTGACATCATGGGGAATAGCTCGGTTGAGGGGTGGCCCTCTTCCCAGGAAGTCCCTCTGGGAAGGTCAAGTTATGCCCTGACAGGGACAGAGCCCAGGAAGGCAGCCAAAGGCATGACCGTACTTGGCATCAGGATAAAAGCAGTGTGGGGAGGGGAAGAGGACAAAGGTGAGCTCTGGTGCCACCACTTGCCAGCTGTCCAACCACAGATCCCCAGCTTCCTCATTCGTATGGTGCTGGTGATATTGGGGCCGAACCTAATTTATAGGAGGCTCAAATTAGCTAACAGATGGGAATGCTTCTCTGAACACACCACTAATGAAGGGTGATAAACACTCTCAGAGCCTTGACACAGGGCAGGCATTGTGCAAAGGAATGGCAGCATTACTTTGGCAGCCTCATTTACTGCTTTGCAAAACGATAGAAGAAGAGTCAACGAGGAGGAGGACTCACCGGCCAGCTGTAGCCTGTCGAGGAGGAAGGAATGTTTGAAAACCACAGTGACCAGCTTCTGGTGCTCACCAGGGCCAGAGGCAGCCTCGTGTCCCCTCTATTAAGTGAGACATAGCTCTGGTGATCCTGAGAAGAGGCTGTGGGGTCAACAGGGTTTCAGGACACTAGATTGGATGGGGCCCTAGAGGGCCCTTGGTCAGCCTGCCTGTTTCCCCGATGGACACAGCGAGTTATGGCTGCGGCGAGGCCACAGCACCAGTGCCCAATCCCATTGGTGGCTCCAGGGGGCAGGGCGCAGCTCTGTTCCTGCCCTTTGTGGCAGCCAACATCTGCCAGGTGAGGAAGGAGGTGTTGGGTTGGCCTTCAGTGTCCAGAACATCCCCCAATTCCACGTTCTCTACTAATACCCTAAGAAGAATAGAGTGTGGCTTGGTGAGGACACTTTCCTGGCATTCAGAGGCTCTGAGTTCATCCTCTGCACCACCACCCCCCCCCCAACACACAGAAAAAAACAACAAATAAAGTAAAATAAAATCTGTGCTCTTCATCAGGCCTCTTTTCTCCACATATTCTTAGTCCCAGGCCCCCCCTACATGGGGACAAGAACATAACATTTCCCACTGTGGTGGCTTTTTCATAAACAGTCAGCTTGCCAGGTGATCCAGGCAAGCTCTTTCGCTCTCTCAGTCCTGTTCTCCTCATTTGTGAACTGAGCCATGTCTCGCTAGACCGTCCCTTGGACTCAACCATGTACATGAAGAGCTTGGTCCATGGTCCTGTGTTCCTGAAAAGGCAGCTGAGATTCCCAGGCCAATCAGGGTGACCAAGAGTGGCTTTCTGCTGCTTGGTTTGGAGCCACAGGCCAAAGATGAGCTGAGTCCTGGTTATTTCTTCCCCTCCTTTCATCCATGTGGACGCTGCTGTGTGCCCAGGAGATAAACTGACAGGGACCACAGGGGACACAGCCTCCAGATTTCTCTTGGCTACCCTGTGAGTGTCGGCAGTGCAGGTAGAAAAGGTAATCATAGAGCCACACACCCTCTTCACACTTGGGGGAGAGCCCCAGTCACATTGGCTTGGTCCAGGAAGGGAAAAGTCCTGCCTGGGTCCTTCCTGTGAGGTGAACACTTTTCCTATCACTCCTAGTTATGTCCAGTGCCTCCAGTTAATCACTGGTTGGTACCTTAACACTGGTACCACAAGTACCAGATTTATTCCTTATAATTCCCACGTTGGGACCACAGTGAACTAGAAAGACTCTGGACATGTCAGGTGGCCTGACCGGCCCTAGGCCCTGGGTCTGTCACTGACCTGCTGTGGGACCTTGGGCGTATCCTTGTAATCCTGCTGAGCCTGTTTGACCTCTGTAGAGTCTGGTCCTGGCCCTGTCAGCCCCCGGAAAAGCTGAGGGTTGGCTGGGAATGCTTGTGAAGTGGYGTGGTGCCTCCATGCTTTGTGAGATAGAACTCCACAGGTGAGTGAAGTGCACGTACCCCTTGGTGCACGCACGGGAAGGAAGTATGCATAGTTAGACTGTCTGCCATTTGGACAGCTCATCATCAGGCTATCTAGTGCCACACAGCACTTTGTGTGTGGCACTTGCACAGGCTGGGAGTGGAGTCGAGGTTGGGGACCAGCGCTCAGATGGGCAAGTTTCTCCATCTCTGCACAAGGCGAGTTCCTGCACTAGGGTGGGTCACCTGGCCTCCTGGTGCCCAAGGCCCTCAGCTGGCAGTGGAGACATAGGATTTCTGTGACCTCCCTCCCTCTGGCAGGCTTGAGGTCTGAGCATGGGGAAGCCAGGGCCCCTCCTCTCTAAGCATAAAAGAAGTGTCTAGATCTCCTGTCATTGCCTCTGATCTTTGCACCCCTAGGGGTGGTCCCTCTGGGAGAGGAATGAGATTTCTGACTCTTCCCATTTGTTTTCCCAAAGGACACTGGGAAGGGGTCAAGTGTGCGGCTGGGCAGATTCACCGAAGTCCCACGGGAAGCAGGACCTAGAGCCGGTCAACCCTTGGCATCGGCTAGCAAGGAGCGTGGACTGTTGCCAACTGCACGTGGGAAGTGACCTGGACCCCGCCAGTCTGCCGATGGGAGGTGCTCCCCCCTCTCCCATCTTCACATTTCTCACCCTGCTCTGGACGGTGTGTGGTTTTTACAGAGGGGCTTTCTTTTTAGTTCTCCAGGGTCTGGTAGGAACAGACCCGAGGCTTACCTTTGCACATGTTAAAGAAAATAAAAATGAAAAAAAAAATCTACTCCAACAGAACAGGCTGGGCTAATGCGAGCTCTCGGCCTGGTGGGAAGGACATGAGCGTGGGCAAGAATCTGTCTCCAAGCTGCTTCTGATGGTGACATTCCAAGATGCCTGTGAGGTGGGAGTTACAAAGTAGGACAAACCCCTGCAGTCTCCTTTTCTGTCGACTCCCATTCAAATCTGATACACTTTCACATTCTGATAAAAGCCATAGGTTTAGCTAGGATGGAGTGGTGGGGAGGTCCCGGCAATCGTTAGAGGAGGATTTTGAGTTTTGAAGAACTAGTTCTGGTGCCCTGGTAAGCTGTTTGAAGAGCAGCCGAATTCTTCTCAGTCTCACTTTCTCTATAACCCTGTTCTGCACGAGAGGCCGTCAGATCTCAAAATCTTTTTCTACCATTCTGCACTTTCCATCGTTAATGCAGTAGATTTTTTTTTTTTTTTTTGGGTAGTGGGCATTGTAAATAGGTCATGTAGGGGGGCAAGTCTTCTCCAGCTCAAATGGGTTTCCTACAGCAACAAGCAGTGTCTTTGGAGGGGACTTTTCAATCCTAGCCCTGCTCACCTGCAGATTCTCCATAAAAAACAATTCCAGGTAGAGCAGTAGGACTTCAGGTCATGAGAGAGAGAGAGAGAGAGAGAGAGAGAGAGAGAGAGAGAGAGAGATATCAGGGTTTCCTCTCTAATCAGACCAGGTTCTCCTGCCACCTTCTCTTTATGGTCTCTGTGAATAAACAGAAATGCAGAGTTCTTTAACGTGGCTCTTCCCTGTTGCCTGCATGTGAGATAGCATCAATCCTTATGGTTTCAAGGATCTAGATTAGGTGTTCAAAGCAGGCAAGCAGTCACTTGCTCCCGGGGGGAGATCCCCCAGCAGAGTGCTCCTTGATGCACACCAGTCCTGGTGAGTGTCCTGGAGGCAGCGAACCAAATGGAAGCAGATGGCTTTGACAGTCCTGATCAATCCGGCGACTCTCTTAAGGAGAATCACAACAGGGAAACAGAGCAAAATAAAGATTTGTCTTTCCTTTCTCCCTCTCTCTTGGGTCTATCTAACCCTCACCTAAGGTACCTGGTCAGTGATTCCCGGTTTGTGCAGGCAGGCTTTCCAAACTGTCATCTTAAAGCCTGCCTGGCCTTTTGTACCTGCCGGCCTTGAGCCCTGCTAAAGAACCACATCCCACCCCTCTAGAGTCCCAGACGCTCCTCCCTATCTCATCTTAGACTGAAAAGTTTTAAATCACATCAACCGGTTAATGCTTGCTTTATGTGCGAATATTTCAGCAGAATGGATACAAATTTTTAAAACAGTCTTTTCATATCTATGTATTCTATATTAAAAGTGATAAAGTCATGTTTTGGGGACGTATTCAAGTAGCTGACAAGTAATTATTTAATAATAGTTCATGAGTGCATTGTAATTATTCTCGCTGTAGTCAGGTCATAGTATCCAACGGAAATTTCCTACCAACCTGCTGTATCCAAAGTTTTGTAAAAAGTTGTAGAAGTTGTTGATCTTTTTGATTTTATATTCAAAAAGTCTCTTTTTATAAATATTATTTATTATACAATGTATATACCTTTGAGTTAACTAAGATTATATATTATATAAATATATATATATTTGGAGAAAATATATTTCATCATGCAGTTTTTTTCTGTTAAGCCATTAAAGAGAAGGTAAACAAACTTAAAATGGATACATTGTACCATGTGTGGAGTTTCCAGATTCATGCTCAGGTCAAGAATATGACATTCTGAATGTGGTAGCCTAAGCTAATTAAGTGACCAAATTAAGATCTTTTCTTCTATTCTCTAAGCAAGATCTTCTGCAATGTCATGGATAGTAGGTCTGATCTACTTCAGGACTTTCTTAAGGGCTTATTTTGCTGTAAGTCAACTTCTATCAAGGAATTTGGGCTGAAATTAATTTCACTGATTCAAATATTTTTTAAAAATTTTTTGGTTATAGATAATACTTTGTTTTGTTCACATATATATATATACATATATATAATTTTATGTGCTAGGCGAGCAATGTACCACTGAGCCACAACCCCAGCCCAGATTCAAGCATTTTTGATGTACACATTAATGTCCCAGATACTCCTAAAAGAAGTGGCCCAAGGCCAGCAGATCAGGGGGCTGGATACTGCCTTAATTCTTTCCTCACCATATTTTCAACTCCATTTGTTGGAGTTTGCGCAATTGAAAATGTAACTTGACTGGAGATGGCCCCGTCCTGCTAGTTCTCCTGCAGAAGCCAAGTTGTAGAAATAGTAGGTTGGCCAGCAAGAAGAAATGGTGTGTCCTGGGCTCTGGGTGGTCGGGAACAAGTGTCACTTGAAGTTGTAGGCTAGTTTGGGCAGAAGGACGAACAGGTGGGTATGTTCCAGGGAAATGGTTTTCTCTCCTTGGACTGGGGCTTCCAAAGGACTCACCTGAAGCTCCCAAGTTCTGAGTTTTCGATGGCAGAATGCTTTCACTCAGTTTTACAACAATACACAGTCCTTTAGTTTCAGACCTGCCCATAAAATGCCACCTTCAGTTTGTTAGGCACATTGTTTGAGAATAGCTGAATTGTTTTTTCTCTCTCTTCATCTGCCTCTATTAGGAACAAATGTTACCTCACTTCATAAAAACATAAAACCAGGAAACCACTGTCTACTTTGGGCAGTGGAAATGGGTTGTCTGTGCCCCCTCCACACCAATTATTGCTATTTATTGTTGTTATTATTTTGGAAGCCTGAGGATCAAGTTCAATGTGCACTCTACCACTGAACCACGTCCCCAGCTCATTTTTAAATATTTTTGAGACAGGGTCTCACTAAGTTGCTAAGGCTGGCCTAAAACTTGAGATCCTCCTGCCTCAGCTTACTGAGTCACTAGGATTACCGGTGTGCATCACTGTGCCAGGCCAAATCTCTTAACTTTAGGAATGGCCACCCAAAGTTCATGAACTTCATACACACACACACACACACACACACACACACACACACACACGTGCACTTAGTTGTAGGTGGACATAATATCTTCATTTACCTATTTTTATGTGGTACTGCAGATCGAACCCAGTGCCTCATGTGTACTAGACAAGTGCTCTACCGCTGAGCTATATCCCCAGCCCTCAAGCATATGAAGAAAGAAGGGAAGAGTGCATGAGTTTAAGGAGGAGGTAGAAATATAGGCAAAAGGAGAGAAGGTAAGGAAGTAGAAAAAGCTGAGAAAAGCAAGGGGAACCCTGATTGTGGGATTATTCTAGATGTATCTCCTTCAGTCTCCATATGGCCCTGGGTACGTGGACTTGTGCTGATGTGGCAGCTGCTTTACACACAAGGAAGGTCAGTTCAGCTAAGTATGGCTGCTCTGCTGTCCTCGCTTCTAGCTAAATGGAGAACTTTCTAAGACCACTAATCACTCTCACAAAAGGGTGAGGCAGAGTCAGTCATGTGGAGACTGTGTGCTGGGAAAATCTCAAACCTGAGTCCTCCTTGCAAATTCCATCCTCGCCTACTTGGGATTCGAGACAATCACAGGTGCTATCTCTGCATCTCAACACCATGGTGTCCGTGTGGCACACGCCCTCTGTGGGCTCATCCCTGGGATCCAGTCTCGGCACAGTCTGCCAGCTGATGAGAAACTTTAGATCGTTTTGCAATAACTTCTGAAATTTACATGCTTTTTTGAACTCTCAAACACACCTAGCCTAGTCACTTCTTTGAAGAGGCTGCAGACCAAGTTGCCAGGCAAGGAAAACGAAAGCCTGCCTCTGCCGCTGCCCTGTTCAGGCTGGACGGGTGATCAGAATGGACTCAGTGCTTCGGCAAGGCTTCTGACCAGGATCTGATTACTATATACATTTGAATTTATTCCACGATTTTGTGATACAGGGCCAAAACTTAGAGGGCTGGCTATTGAATAATTTTTAAGCTATAGAAAGACAGCTTTAAAGCAAAACTTATATTGGATATTAATTACAATTAGTTTTCTTATTAAATTTTTTAAAAAAAGTATCACCGTGAAGATGTCAAAATCTAATAAGAATAAAATAACCCCTTTCCCCCTTTTAGTGACATCTTTTGGCAGCCCAGTGGCTGCTTAAGCCACCCACAGGCAATGGCCTCCAAGGCAGTGGCTGGGTGGATTCTGCCTGTGTTCACCAGCCACGCCACATACCCACGCACTTCCAGAACCCACCTTCTGAAGGCAAGATGGGGACCAGCCGGCCTCAGGTTCCTCCCCTCTGAGGTCCTGGGGAGCTAACCCTGCTGCTGAAGTTCCTGATGATTTTCTGAGCTACCCCTTGCCCTAATCTGGGCCAGTGTCAAGCATCAGGGATCAGCCTGGAACATAATAGCTCAGAAAAAAAATGTAAAAACCATGAAGGACACCAAAATGATCCACGGAAGAAATCTCACTGCGGGTGCTGGGGTGCACATCTCACAGGAAGGAGCGATTCTAACAGAAACAGCCTTCTCTGCTCTGGTTTCCTTGCTAAAATTTGTTTACGGCTTTGTTTTCCAAGATAAAATAAGCATAAAGCACAAGTATATAGGTTCTTGCTGTTTATCAGCATTTTGGTATGCTAGTGATCTCTTTTTCTTTTCAAATAACTGTACTAAATAAGAGATTTTTAAAACAAAAATCCTCCACCTCCTTTGGCTAGCTGTAATAAAACAGAGAGGTTTCTTTTTGGACCTTCTTCCTCTTCATAAGCGTCTGTCGGATATTGTTTTATATGAAATACTGTCTACAAACATTTTCAAGTATATTTACTCTTTATTGCATTCCTTCATTTGCATTAAACAATATAATATTTATCTTTTTCAATATAGTTTTGGACAGAACACAAAGACATTATCCTCATTTAACAAGAGACATAAGTTAATACAATGTGTGCTGCTTCTCGGGAGGAGGGAAGAGGCAAGATGGCAAATAGGTTGGGGATTCAGGAAATGGGCCACCAGGGATCACAAAATTCCACAATAAATCCACTGTCATAAAAGCCACAAAATGAGCCAGGGATGAAGACTCAAAACAAAAGTATACAGAGAACAAGATTTGGAGATGATTGGCCTTCTACTTGCCACAGTGGCAACAAACTGGTCAGAAGTGGTGGCTTCTGACCACCTGTCCTCTTGTTTTAAGCAGCAGTGGGAGAGTCGTGCTCCATATGTCTCATCACCACATGTGATAACCTAATTAAATTCCTTCCAACTCAGTGATAAGACAAGTCACCCTCAAAAGGACTCAACGAGTTCTCCTTCCCTTTGGAAGAAGCGTGTAGAGGATGAGGGAAAGGATCAGACGGGTGTTCAAGGGCTAAAGGGAGAGGGTGAGGACGTGGCTTATTTCTCTGGATAATAGTGTTTTATTTGCATGCTAGATAGTAAAGATAATTTAAAATAAAGGAAGGACAAATTCTAAGTAAGTCATTAGGCTAAGGAAAAGAGAAAAGTGGTGATACTAATAAGCCTTTTATATTATCCTAAGGAATTGACCCACTTAGAGTTGGACACTAATTAGTGCTGAGAGGTTTGTAAATTACTTTATTTTAATAATTCCTTTCTGTTTAGGGGTGTACATTTTTCCATACATATCTTTCATAAGTTTTTAACAACATCTTCTGAGTGGTAATAATTAGCATATATCTTACCACAGAGCAAATTAATTATATCAAGGGGATGTCACAGCCACCACAGTGACAATTGGACTTTCTAATAAGAAAGATCTCCTGATTGCAACTTGAAAATATCCCTGAAAATGATTAAGAACAGCATCTTAGATATTCAAAGCCCTGTTTCTTCAGGCAATAATAACCAGTTCCACGGGAATACCTTTAACCAAATACCAATTACCGTTAGTGTAAGCGTAGGGGAGTTGTATAGAGTCCCAGAGAACCCACGCCTCTGCTCACTGCTCTTGTTTTGCATGCAGAAAGTCGACCTTCTAACAAGGTCAAGTGTTGTCCTGCAACATTTGTTACCTTTACTAATAGTTTTCAGGTGGTACGGAGCTTCAAATGTGTAGTGTGCACAAATACAGTACGGCTCCCACACAGACTCTGAGTAAGAAGGAACCACCTCAGCTCGGGGGAAGGTAAGCACAGCATCTTAAGCAGATTTACACTTTCCACAAAAACACCAGAATATCTCAATAAGCATGAAGAGGGGAGTGTTTTTGCACTAATCATGCAGTGAGTGCAGGTTGAAGGTAGAGAATGTTTCACTTAGTCCAGTATCTCCAGCAAGATGAGTGAAGATCCCAGGCCATCTTCACCTTGGTCATGTCCCTTGGTCACCGTGTGTTGCAAAGAGTTCATTTTCAATCAAAGTCAAGAGGGCTACTGCAAAAGAAGCACCAAACACATACACATAAAAACAGATGAGCACCTGCAAAAAGCCAWTCATAATGGAATCACTAGCAGCTTCTTAATGTTTTTGCTACATTTTCCACTATGCATTTGCTATAGAAGGACAACTGACAAAAGAAAATGGTCACAACTCCATGCATTTAAAAACAGGTTCCAATAAATATGTACCATCAAGTTTTTCCCTGCATTGTGACAAGGTAGTTTTGCGAAGCAGGACAGGGAGAGCAAACCAACAGAACAACCAACCTCCTTGCTTGGTCTCTCATACCTACAACACAGTGAAGAATTCTAATAAATGAAAACAAAGTTATGTTGGAAAGAAACTGTCAAATTCATATGTACTGTATGCAACTCTTAAGTAGTTACTGGGATTTGACAGGGTGAAGTTTAGTCTGTAGTCTTAAGTGCTGTGTGTACTTACGCTCCTTCTTCTCTCAAGAGGGCCAAGAATTTTCTCACGCGGTATTCAGGATCCATCTAAATACATCAGAAGAAATAAAGAAGACAAGTTAATGGTGCCTTCTAACAACTATGCACTTACTTCATGCCAAGGAAATACTTGGTTTCATACTTCCAGTAGCACTCTGCTGACTCACAGGAATGTGTCAACTGCTCCTTGACCACTGTTCTGATGCACAATAAAGCAGATTATATCATTTAGGAGAGTGGGATTTCCCAACATGGAGAATGGCTGAGTGCTGGGTTCAAATGACCTGATCCAGGGTCATTCATGGTCACCTCAGCCAAGTGCTCTCTTAGCTGGTGCAGCATGTGGAGGCACAGCACACCTGTGAGGCATCATTGTGAACCAGACGGTGGTCAGTCCAGGCAGTTCAAATGACATCCAATTCCCAGGACTTCTCTAAGGCATAAAAGTCTCATTAGATAACCCAAATATGGCTTATTAACTCTATGTCAATCAACCATTGAGCTTTTCTTAGCCTCAGTGCCCTTGCACAGTTTCTTCTTTGCAATTAATGGAACAGTTGCACTACAACTAAAACAAGAATACCGCTGACTCTGATGCGCTCTCTGGGTAAACTGTCTCTCAGGGACCTGGAATATGTCATGGGTCTAAGGAAAGATGGCAGGGTTCTGATTCAGGTGTTGGTTCAGGTTGTTGCTATTAATTATCTCTCCTGGTTTTCATTTTATATTCATATGTATAGTAATTTGTTAAAATATATTTTATTCTTATTGGTCTATCAGAGATGTGAAGTTATCTAGATAACGATCATTAAAAACATCCTTTAATTCTTTAAGATGGATTTTTTATTGTAAGAAACACACCTCACTTTTAAAACATGTTCTAGGACAGAAGTCTATTCCCAGAAGGGAACTCCCTACCCTCCAGGAACGGTTTTCAAATGCTCAGTGCAGCTGTGGGCAAGTGTGCAATTGGATTCCCCCCTCCAAACACTTAAAAAAAATTCTCTTCTATCCCAGAAAAACATTGAACAGAAGTTTCAAATGTATCAAAGTTAAGAGGTCAGACTACAAAGGACTAAGAAAAAGTGTGAATAGCTAACAAAAGAAACATTTTTCCTCTTTGGGAATAGAATTACATATGAATCAATTGTCAAGTTCTTAAAAAAAATGGAACTAGCTGGAGCTCAGTTGTAGTCAGTACTTGCAGGTCTTTGCCCATTAAATATATTTAATATGTGTGAGCAACGACTTACTGACTTGCCTGTAGCTATGGAATTAAAAGTCAAGAGAAAGGGAGGAAAAAAGTAATCTAGATAAATGACTTTATTCCCTCAGGTGACATCCAGTCAGAGCAGATCCTCAGCACTGTGCAAGTTTTAACAGAATCATGCTCGGGGAACAGAGAGGGAACATGACTTACATTCTGCTAAACTACATGCCTCTTCACTGGGGCTCAGTCTCTCTAGGCAGATCTAAAGAGAAGTCACTCAGCTGCACAGAATCCATTTGACATGAAGGGGCTCAAACTTGGAGGCCTATGAAGTGTCAGTCGCTGAAGATTAGGCCTGAGCGCCCCACTCTCACTTTCTACCCCACATACATAAGAAGCATTAACTTGATCACTGACCTCAGGCATCAAAGGAAGAGGAAGAGAAGGGGGCTGGGGTGAAAAACCCACAGAGTTTCTTCTGTGCAATTATTGAAAAAAAAATTGAGTTGAAACTAGAAGAAGAAGAGGAGGAAGAAGAAGAGCAGAGCTGGCTTTCCAACAGGTCTGTCTTTTTTCAAGGAAAGTGCCAGTACACCTGTATGGGAACCTTTACCAGAAATAAGCTTCAGCAAAGTGCTTGGTCTGTGACTCTAATTTATTGCTCATAATGGAAAATAAATTAAAGTTTCAGTAGGCTGAACTTTAGGTTTCTAAAAACCACAAAAATATTATTTTAAACTAAGCTTATCACAAAGGATTAAAAAGTACTCACTTCATGTTTCCGATTTGTTATTGCTCCAACGGCCCCCTCTGGATGTAACTGAGAAGCTGAACTCCGCTCTGCCACCCACTCTCACACTGGTGGATGGGTAAGACCCCTCAGCAATGCGCCATGCCTATAGCATTCCACCCAGGACCGGAGATGGAATCATGCATTCATTAAAAGTTCACTGAGCACCCTACTCTGTGTTTAGCTCTGTTCCAGGGCTTTAGATAGTGCATCTGAACTCACTTAGCTTGGTAGGGAGAAACTGATCTAGTATGTCAGATGAGGGCCAGGAGACAGGATGGGCATGAAGCATGGAGTTCCAGAAAGAGTAAAGGTAAGTTGCCAATAGTTGTGAGAAGGTTCCAAAGAAGTTTCATCTGTTTCTGCCCAGGAAGCAGAATGGGGCTCAGTTTTCCGTGAGACCCTAGATGCTTTAACCCTATAGTAGTTTGCATGAAATTTCTAGGAGTCCAGTCAGGGAAAATTATACACAGCCCAAGTCCACTCTATGCAATGCAACCCACCTGTTCTTTACAGAAGTCTCCCAGGCCTCCTCTCATATACATGCAGTAACTTACTGATTTCTGATGATAACACATTCTTCCTCCATCACTAATTGGCTATGCGATTTTGACTAATTTGCTGACAACCTGAGTGATACACAGCTTTCTTAAAACAAGAGGGCAGCAGAGCAATTGCTATTTTTTTGGTGGTGCTGGGGCTTGAACACAGGGCTTCATGCATGCCATGAAAATACTCTATCACTGAGCTATATCCCCTGCCTAAAAATCACTATTTGAAGTCCTTTCTAGTTCCAAGATCTAGTGATTCCTTAAATTAACAGCTTGAGTTCAGAAATAATATAAGAGAATTATAACAAATGAATTAAAACCTTAGTGAAGGAAATATTAAAACCTCTTGGATCTGGTGCATGGTAAGGCACGCCTGTAATCCCAGTGACTTGGGAAGTTGAGGCAGGAGGATCACAAGTTTGAAGTCAGCCTTGACAACCTAATGGGGCCCTAAGCAACTTAAGAGACCCTGTCTCAAAATAATAAATAAAAAGGGCTAGGTATTTATTTTAAAAATAAAAAATAATAAGTGGCTCAGAGGTAAAGCTGCCCCGGGTTCAATCACAATCTCAGAAACAACAAACAAATAAAAAACTCTAGGTGTATGGTGAACTTGTTTCTCTGGATCATGTGGAGGAAGCTCCTTACCTGCAAGGACATCTCGATCAACATCAGTAGCTTCTTGATTCCTATCCAGACTTTCTTCCCTTTGACTTGTTGTGCAATTGTGGTGCGTTCCTTATCTTTAAAATTGCCCAAAAGCTACAAAACAATAAACAACAATGAAGTCCCTCTAACATCAACAACATTAATTAATTCTCACATTCATCCTGAAAAGAACAGTGGTAGGAAACATCTGACTGAGTTAAGCTGATAGGATTCCCTCCTATTTTAAAACCAGTCTGACCTTCCTGAACCCATTAGGTTCAAGCACAAAAGCAAAAGCTGGTATCTTAAACCCTGTTTGTCTTTGGATCTCCATTGTTACTCAGAGATATGTTTGCTGGGAAAAAATAGCTCCAATCCATAATAAATACAAGTTAAAATTTTTAGCATTCCTTTCTGGGAATAATCTGTATGTTGTCAAAGCAGACTAGATTTAATTCTCTTGCCCAGCCCTGCCACAAAAACTGCTCAAACAGGCAACCTGGAAACATTTGTCGCAAGGATGATTTTGTTGGGAGCACGCACGCACCATGGGTGGGGAAGGCTGTGAGAGCTTATGGCCTCCACCACTGCTCGGCAACTTGCTAAATCACCTTTTCCAACAGATCTCGTCAAGTCATCTATGCACATTAATATTAACCAAAGGTTTACTGCAGCATGTATTTTTTTAAAAAAACTAAAGACTTTATCATCCTCAAAAAATTCAGAACATTTCCACATTATAAACTCATTAGGAAACTTCTTTTTATTTCTGTAGCTTTTTTGAAGTTTTGAAGGCTTTAATTACTGTTCCAATCTACTAAATGCAAGGAAATGTGCTGATGGCCACTCTAAATAACCAGGTTTTATATGCAATGATTATCTTAGTCCCCACCTTACAGCTTCACCCATCCAAGTCCCTGGTCATGGACTCTGTATGCATTCTATGCCTGTGGGGCGCAGAGTAACTCATTCCTGCAGTGAGTGCTCTGCCTACCCTGAGGAATGGGGAATTAATGCCCTGATACTTGTATTCCTCTTCTTCCTCTAATTCCTGAGAACAACTGAAGGTACTATCTCAGGGTTCCATGTTCTGGGTTAAGTTAGAAACCAGACACCAGGTATTCTAGCTGTGTACCCCTCAGCATGATCACCAGCCTCAACTCCTTTCTTATAAACAGAGTGTAACCCATTGACTCATTTTCACCTCCAAAGCTTCCAGTAGCTGCTCTCCAGTAGCAATGTTGGGCACGTGGATGGTGGTGCTGAAGGCATTAAGCATTTCCATTTCCAGAAGGACATCTTTGCGGCTAGTGGTCCCAATGATAAGAAGCTTTCGGCCCTGAACACAGGAAGAAAATGTGTTGGAATGCACAGGTTAAGACTATTTAGGAAACTAGAGTACTAAAGACTGAACAAAATGTGCAAAATCTATTTATTTAGTTGTGCAAGTGTGAGTGCTTTGGCTGGAAAAGAAAAGATCAGGAGTTCCCTCATGAAAATCTGAAAAAAAGATGTCTACAACATGATTCAAAAACAGCATCTAAACATCTTCTCATTCACAACAGTAAAACAATGGATCGTTAAATCAGAGAGACATGCAAACTGAACAGAAAGACACTGAAGTGGGTGTCTGAAATTCCTTCCTCAGAGACAAGATGGCACTATATGGTGGGAACTGGGGGAGAAAATGAATGAATAGAAAGTCGGTATCTGCAGTTTAACAAGGCTCTATTAGGTTTTCTAGAAGAAGCAGGGTATGACAGTTTACATGTGAGCAACACTTAACTGTGAAACGCAGAGACTAAGAGTTCTACATAACTGTCTCATTTAACATTTTTAAATCTCATTTTTATTTTACCAAGATTACGTGAAAAAATTTTAAAAACCATGCCAGGCTTGTGCCACACTGACTTCCCTCTCCAAGTCAATCATTTCCAGCTCCCCTAGCCTTTTTCTTGCATTTGCTCTTTTCTCTTTTGATAGCAAGGTACTATTTTTAGATTTTTGTGAAATACCATTTCTTGATGCCTTACTATGGGAGACGGGGCTTTTCCAGTTACTTGTGCACACTCGTCCCACTGCTTAAAAACATCGGGTAATTTGAAATTTGGGTTTCTTTTCCCTCCTGGCGTCCATTGTCTTCATGGTTCAATCTGAAATGCTCACTCTGTACATGTGCTGTACATATGTAGTTCTAAAACTTTCCTCCTTCCTCTGTGAGATCTCCTGTGTCCTAGACTTCCTTCTCTTCATTTATTTCCCTTTATCTGAGGTGCAGATACCCAGAAAATTCCAGAGGAAAGTTGCATAAAAGGTAAAAGCGTAGACATTGCATTTCTGGAAGTTCTTTATTCTGCCCTTTTCTTTTCTTTTTCTGTTTCTACTTGAAAATCATATACCTTGAAATGGGTCTTTCTTTACTCATTTTGCTGGCACTAGATGAGCCCTTTCTCAAGTGGAAATTCTAATCATTCGATTCGAGGAAATATCTTGGATGGTTTATTTTCTCTGTGACTCACCCTTCCCACTCTCCATTGGGAACCTCCACGAGTTGGATACTGACCCTCTAAGACAAATCTTCTAATTTTTTTTCTTTTTGTTTGTTTTTTACCTCTGGTTTTCATTTCTCTAATATTTTGGGGGTTAACATTATCTTCTAATCTTTAAAATTCTTTCTTGTTTCCTGAAAGCTTTCCTTTTTAACTATACCCTATTATATTTCCTTCTTCTCTTTATTATTATTATTGTTTTGCAGCGTTGGGGATCTAAGCCAGGCCATCCTGCATACCAGACATGCGCTCTACCGCTGAGACACACCCCCAGCTATTCATCCTATCCTATTTCCCAGGTACAGTATCTTATTTTAGGTCTCTGTGAATATTGTAGATTTTTTTTTAAAGTCTTCTTCTGTTCCCTGCTTTGTCTGTTTCCTCTGAGTTCCTGCTTCCCTACTTGTTTCCTGGAGGCTTTCCTCAAGCATCTGGTGATATCGGGCAACTGTTCAGTTAGGCTAATAACTAGAAGCTCTGTGTTTGAGGGCCTCACTCCAGGGAGGTCAGGAAGACTTGGCTGATTATCGTGGTTCTCTCAATGATCAGTATGTATACATTTTTCCCGGAGAAGAGTATTCCAGTATCCTTCCTGAGGGCCACCAAGCCTAGATACCAGCATGCTGGAAGTCGATGGGTCAGGGGTTTGAGAACCTCACCATTTAAGGTGAGGAGACTGCCACTTAATCCTATTTGCTGTATACTGTCTCTTCAGATCAATTCTCATTTAGTCTTCCTGTAATCACACAAATTAAGTACCAGGACAATTCCCGTTTCACTGATGAAGCTATTAGTCTCGCAGATATAAGTGATTTGTTCAAGGTCATATAATTAATAAATGAAGGAGCCATAAATAGATACCAGATCAAATTGTATGCTTCTGCTCTTCATGAAGAAAAACACATTTTAAAAGGTTTGCTTAGAAAATGGAAGATAAGTAAGTATTAAACTTATATGAATTATACTGTTCTTTCTTCTTCTTTTTCTTCTTCTTCTTCGAGTGGGGACTTGAACCCAGGGCCCCCTTCATGTGCGGCAAATGTTCTACCATGGAGCTGTACATCCTATTTATTTCATGAGTACAATATCTCATTTTAGATTTCTGTTATTATTTTTTTAAAAAATTATAATATATGTGGATTTATGGTACATACTCAGACCATATATTAAACCTATTTGTGGATCTTAGAAACTCAGGACATCAATATTACTGTGCTAGTAGGGAAAGACCTTAAGAAACCAAAGAGCAGATGCCAAATAACTTGTTTGGGTTTGTGAACATTATCTCATTAGCTGTCAATAAGGCATGCTACCCTTTCTGAATGTATTTGCTTATCTGTGCAAGGAAAGAACAGGGTACCACCATGAACAAACCTTTAAGAAACCCAGTCAGGGTTCTCTGGTACAATCAGCCATTGGTATAATAGATGACTGCAAAGATTCTGAGATGGAAGTGGTCTGTGAAATATACAGATTAAAAGCTAAGCATTAACAATATTCAACCAGCTAAAAATCAAATGCTTAAAAACAAATATTTACCAAGTTCCTAGATGAGAATGGAATGACTATATAGAGGGAGACAGATACAAAAGGAAACCACAATGCAGTACAGAAAGGCACAGTGTCATGCGCAGTGATGTCAGGCAGAGGGAAGAAATATGTGGCAGAGAAAGCGGCTTTCTCTTGAGGAGCTAGGACCTGGATTAAAATGATGCGTGGGCTGATTAGGAAGAGGAAGGGGAAGTATATTCGAAGCCCAAAGTAGCAGAAATATAGACACTGGGGTGATTACAAACATGTAAAGACATGTACATTTCTACTGTAGCAACATAAAAATGGTGGCTATTTTTTTTACTCAAAGTTTTTTTTATTTTTTATTTTTTTGTTTTGTTTTGTTTTGTTACCAGGAATTGAATTCAGGAGCATTTGATTGCTGAGCCACATCCCCACTCCTTTTTTGTATTTTATTTAGAGACAGGGTCTCACTGAGTTGCTTAGTGCCTGGCTTTGAAATCGCAATCCTCTTGCCTTAGCCTTCTGAGCGACTGGGATTATAGGTGTGCACCACCATGTTGAGCAAAAGTTTTTTTTTTTTTTTTTTTTTTTTTAATACTAAACTGTAATGGCAAGCTTGGGAACACATCCCTAAAGGCTAACAGGTAATAAATGTACCATGTGCTGGTATATTCTCATTTCAAAAATAGTAATAATAATAATTATTATTATTATTTGAGGTAAAGGGGATTGAACCCAGGGCTTTGCACATGCTAGGCAAGTGCCCTACCCCTGAGTTACATTTCCAGCCCTTTTTATTTTATTTGGTATTGAAGACTGAACCCAGGATGCTTACTACTAGCTATATCCCCAGTACTTTCTTTCTTTCTTTTCTTTTTTGTTTTTTTGAGACAGGGCCTCCCTAAGTTGCTGAGGCTGGCCTCAATCTTGCAATTCTCCTGCCTCAGCCTCCAGATTGCAGGCATGTACCACTGTGCCTGACTTATTATTATTTTTTGAGATGGGGTCTCTCTGTGTTGCTGGGCTGTTCTCAAATTTCAGGGCTCAAGTGATCTTCTCACCTCAGCCTCATTACAATTAAACATAGATGATACTTCTCTTTTCCCTTAGGTTTTTAACACCCCACAGTTCTAATTCAAACTCTCTCATCTTGTTCTCTCTGGCAGAGGACAATGTATGGCCCTGAGGAAGAATCTTCTTGCTCATTACAAAAGCTGAAACTTTCTCTCACAGTAGTAACAGTGACTACACTCTTTATAGTGTTGAAAGATTGGGAAATGCACAGCAACTTATAATGGAGACGCTAATTTATGTTTTGCTTTTCTTCTTGTTTAACAAGACTGCAAACACTGCAAAGAGGTCACGACCCAGGCAAGTTCAGGCCTTGACTTACAAAGCATCATCTTTAAGAAAACACCGAAAAACATTACTGAATAATTAAGTTGTGCTGGGTCATTTTGTATATTAATTAGTGGTAACGCTCAGATGGAGGCTTTCTCATGAAGAAGCTGCTCTGAATGCACTCACGCTAACAAATGCCACTGGATAATGTGACGGGAAAAGCCAGCAGTAGCACGCAATGGGGGTGCAGCTCTAAACAGGGCTCGACCTAAGATGGGAGATTCATCTTGTTCATGTGTGGCTACTGGTCTTAAGTCCACGGTGCCCAAACATACCCCTGATGGAAAGAAGAACAGCAGTGATAAATTTTTTTTTGGGAAAAAAAAAAAGTCTCACCCAACATACTCATTATTGAGATTAGCTAGTCCTGATGCTGTAAAGAAAAGACCTCAGTAAAATGACTATCTGCCAATAGGATTATGATAAACATTGTTCCAAGGTTAAATAAGTATTAGTTAACTAATTCTCAGTTCCATATGAATTAACTCAGGTGAAAACATTACCATGAAAAAGGCAGGGCTCAGTTAGGTGTTGATCCTTAAAAAAAAAAAAAACCCACTTCTTTACAGGATGAAGAATGAGCAACATCTAAGCCTTTTGCCACACAAAGGACTAACCAGATAATCCACACCCTTTCAGAGGTCTTGCCCATTGATTGGCCCCAATAAACTGATTTGTAACAAAAGTTCATGTGGAAGAAAGCTCCCCCCTCCAAATAAAAATACCACCAATATAATACCGCAGTGAAATGGAAGGGCTGATTTCAACCTATGAACAAAAGTAAAGTCAGTTATGCAGAAAAGAAAGGCCATTCTTTCCATATCATTCAATGCTGAGCAAGTGTAATACACCCTTGGTAAGAAGAATTAGCTGA